CATTACTCAGTGTGGGAAAGAACTCAGCAGGAGGAAGGGCTGGGAGAGAAGGCATACAGAGGGAACAAGGACCAGCAGGGTACGGTGGTGCAAACCTGTGATGCCAGCACCGAGAGACCAGCAGGAGGATTGTCACCAGTTCAAGGCCAGCCTAGATACAGTGATTGTTGCCATCATGGAATCAGTTCTCTCTGCCACGCACTGTGGGAGGAGCAATCATGCATCAGTTTAAGCTTTATGACAACCCTACAAAGTAGATCGTATTATCTATCTCCATTTTACATGAAAACTATTAAGAAATCCAGTCTTATTTGTTTTTGTTTTTGTTTTTTTTTTGAGACAGACTCTGCCATGCAGTTCTGAACTCACTTTGTAGCCCAGACTGACCTTGAGATTGCAGCAATCCTCCTGCCTCAATCTTCCAAGTGCTGGGACCACAGGCATGTGCCACCAAACTGGGCTGAAATCAAATCTTAGAGAAGTTAAATAGCTGGCCTGGGAATTGAACCCAGATTTTAAGCCTTTGCTCTTTTTTTTTTTTGTCTTTTTCATTTTTATCGGTACCAGGGATCAAACTCACGACTGCCTGCTTGCAAGGCAGGCACTTATGCTGCTGAGCTAAGTCCCCAGCCCCTAACAGGGCTAATTCTTTTTTTTTTTTTTTTTTTTTTTTGGTCTAATCCTGGCCATTTCTGAGGCTAGGTTACGAGTAAAAGGTTTGTTATCTTATGCTCTTTACCTTTCTCTACATTTGCAAGTTTACATAATTCAAAGTTAAATACACACATGTGTATGTGCTCCTACACATATATATCTTGCTATGCTTTTGTTCCTTTATGTGGGTATAACTTTAGGTATTTTCATCTTTTTTGTGTTGTTTCTGCTTCTGCATTAAGGTGCTTTTTATCAAAAACAAACAAAAAGCATCTATTTTAATGGATCGTGGTGGTGCACACCTGTAATCCCAGCACTCAGGAGGCTGAGGTAAGAGGGTCACTTGTAGTTCCAGACCAGCCTGGGCTGCGTAGTAAGTTCCGGGCCAGTCTGAGCTACATCATAAGACCTCATCTAAAAAAGTCATGAATTTAGCTGTAGTAAGAACCAAACAAGTCAGATGGGCTTCATTTACATGTGGGCTGGTATGAGAAAGCCATCCCTGGAGCTCCACGCTTCAGAGAAGAGGAGTAACCGTGGTAGAACCCTGTTGTAGTCAGGGGTTGTGCGGAGAACAATTAAAACCAGGACATGGAATTTACAATATTTTATGATGGTCACCCAGAGTTAACACAAGTGCAGGAAATCTATCCATAACACTAAAGACATAGACTATTTAGCAAAGGGCCTGAATTCCACAGCAGTGTCCCACATGAGCCCAGATGAAGACCCAGAGCTCATGACAGTGCCTTCCACAAGTGCAGCTGGAGGTCTAGAGCTCACGACAAAGACTCATGCTAGTTGATTACAGATCTGTGCTGGGAAGGCCCAAAAGTCAGCAGTGGAAGCCAGAAAGTCTATGCCAATGGGATGAAGGAGCTGTGCTGGTAGGTTGAGGATTCTATGCTGGAGCTGAGAAGTCACACTCAAAACAAGACCAGGGCTGTCCTGAAAAGCACCACAACCAGCCTCAGTGACACAGAGGCCCCAAGCTCCTCCTCCTCCAAGCACAGTGGAGTACATGCCAGGAAGCTAGCGTGAGTTCACCCTGGAGACCAAGCAGCACATGTCTTCCCCTCTGGAGCCAGGAAGCAATGCTCGATGTTAGGGTCAGAGCTTCTCCAGGAGAATCAACAGCTCAGAGAGCAACACGTAGGAGAACCCACAATGCCTCAGTGCACCTTAATGCCCAGCTTCTCCTTCGCCACGTCTCTATTTATGCTGGCAGCTTTCCTCAGATGGGACATCTATACTCAACACCATGGTTATTTAATTCCACTGTTGTTAAATTGACCACCAGTTTTTTTATCAGTACCAGGGATCGAACTCAGGACCACCTGCTTGCAAGGCAGGTACTTATGCCGCTGAGCTAAATCCCCAGTCCTGACCATCAGTTTTTAATCTATAACAAACCCTAAGCAGATGGAGACCCTGAGGTGTGAGTGCAGGCTTCGGCAGAGCTGCCAGGCTCCCCGCCTCACAGTACTGCCCTTTCTCTGAGACAGTTCTCTTAAAAACCAGGTTCTCCAAACCTGGGCATGGTGGCACATACTTGTAATCCCATCACTACAGGGAGGCTGAGGCACAAGTACTGCGAGTTCAAATCCTGCCTAGATACATTAGCAGCATGTGAAATCGTGTCTCAAAATAACTAAATGAGGGGCTTGGAAGGCAGCGCAGTGGTAGCGAAGCCCTGGGCTCAATCCCTAGTGCTACCCGTGTGTGCAGCGTACAGCTTGTTAACGTACAGGGGATTCTCTGCGGTCCAGCCCTGCGAGCTCCTCATGGTGAAGCTCCTTCCAACTAAAAGACCCCAGTCCTGCTTTTGGGCTTCACTGGATGCCCTGCCCTACCCTGCCCTGCAGGTCTGTCCAGTCCCCGGACCTCAACCAGTCCGGAATACTAAAAGCAAAGGAGTAGAAATGCTGCTCATTTCTGCCAGATAAAGTGCTAATGATGAAACATTAAGCAAGGTATCAAGTAACTCATCTTCTTCCTTTGGAGTCCAGATCAGATATCACTGTTTTTGTGTCTGTTCCTGTCCCCAAGCAGAGGTCCTTAGCATCCTACTTCCCTTCCCCAAGGGCAGCACTTGATACAAACTATTTATTGTAGGTTTGGTTTGGGTTTTTTTGGTTTTTTTTTTAACCTTAAGTTATTTTGTTGCATTAGGACTTTAGCAGTTCAGGTTGGCCTTGATCTCATGGTGATCCTCCTGCCTCAGCTTTCTGAGCACTGAGAGTGCTTGTTAAGCCTCTCTGCTTTTTTTTTTTTTTTCTTTTTTTTTTTTTTGAGACATGGTCTCATGAAATTGCTAAATTGAATTTGAGATCTTCCTGCCTCAGCCTCTGAGAATGCTGGGATTAAACGTGTACATAAAGCAGTTTGTTTTGCTTTTGTTTTAGTTTTTGATCCAGGGTCCTACTATGTAGTTCAGGCTGACCTCAAACTCTTGATCCTTCTTGTCTTAAGCTCTCAAGGGCTGGGGTTACAGGTCTGTGCCATTCACCTACCACCACACTTTTGGTTTTTGTTTTTCTTGATGTAATATTTTATGAACCACTGGCTGTCATGGTTACCATTATGCCATTAACTTTTTTTCTTTTTTCTTTTTTGGTACTAGGAATCAACTCACAATCTTGTGCTTGCCAGACAGGTGCTTATGCCACTGAGCTAAATCCCCAGCCCTGTTTTTGTTTTTCTTTCCTTCTAGTTTTCTTTGTAGAAGATGCAAAAGAGAATATCTCTTATTTTTCCACAATGATGAACACTTACTGAGTTCTTCCTGTGTACCTACCAATATTCTAAATACCTCCCATGTATTACTTCATTTCATTCCTACAGCAACCCTATATGAAGAAATTTCGATTACAATCCTCATTCTCCAGGTAAGGAAAATGACACACAAGAACCCGGGCCAGATTTGGACCCTGCCAGCTGAGTTCCAGAGCACACGGCTGCTGACCACCAAGGTGCACTGTGTGGAACAAATTCGTAAATAGATGAGTGAGGAAGTGAAGGAATGTCCAGCCGTAATTCTTCAGGCACTTAAAGTCACCTAAGGCACGAGTAGCATTTGTTTGTTTGTTTGTTTACTGTTTTTTCTTGAGACAAGCTCTTGCCTGAATGGAACCCTGACCGTCCACCCACCTAAGTCTCCCAAGCGCTGGGATTACAGATGTGCACTACCATACCTGGCATGAACAGCACTTACGTTTAAACACATAATTGGTAAGTTTTTGGACATTTTTGGAGGAATGATAATTTCTCACCTATGATCTTTGTTTGTGATATGATCTTCCTTTATAACCCAGGATGACCTCAAATTTGTGATCCTACTGGCCAGGCACAGGGGTACGTGCTTATAATCCCAGCAGCAGGATTGCTGGGAGTTTGAAGCCAGCCTAGGCTACATAGTGAGTTCAGGGACTGCCTGAACTATATATAGAAAGCCTGCCTCAAAAAAAAAAAAATTCTTTCTTTGTGGCTCTCCTGCCTCAGCCTCCCAAGTGATAGGATGCTAGGAAATTCTTTGAGGTAAGAAACATCTCTGGCCACTTCCTAAGTGGTCTCCAGAGATAAAAACCATAGTCAGATGAAAATTTCCAGTCTAGAACAACATTAATTTAAGAACTGGGTATGGTGGCATATGCCTATGATCCCAGAACTTTGGAGACTAAGGCAGGAAGATTGCTATAAGCTCAAGGCCAGCCTGAACTACAAAGCGAGACTGTCCAGAAAAAAAGAATTTACAAAAAGCTACTTTTTGATCCAGCGATCACAGTTCTGAGTTTTATTGGAATGAGTGAAAACAATTGCTTCAAGGGTGTCTGGACTCCCATCCCTATTGCACCAGCACTCACAGCAGTCAAGCTATGATCAGCCAGGCACAGTAGCACAGCCTGTGTCCCCACACTTGGCTGATATGTGGATGGCTGAGGCAGGAGGCTGCTGATTTCCAGGCTGGCCTGGGCTACAAAGTGAGACTATATTTAGAAAAAAGATATGAAATCAGCATTAAACCTGTATTTACACATGATCAATTTGACACACACACAGAGGATGTTATGCAGCCTTTCAAAGGAAGGACACGGACACAGCTGTGTGGGTAGCATTGGAAGACACTGCTGAGTAAAGTAAGCGGTGCAGAAACAAACACAGCTGCCTGAGCAAGAGCGAGGGCATGGGGCGGGGAGGAGGCACCAGGAGAGGTGCAAGGTGTCAGCAGGAACGTGAGGTTTGGGATCCATTGCACACCCGGGGACTCTGCTCAGTAATCATGTGCATTACAGAAGAACCGTGTAAATTTCAAATATCTCACCACAAAGAAGGCCAGACCGCAGCCGTGTGAATTAGCTGGGTTTAATCATCCTGCATCGCACATACAGCAAATCACCGCTCTGCACAAGTGTGATTTCTCAGTGACAAACCACATTAAATAAAAGCAAAAGCTACTTTTCGGTCGCTTGTATTAATGAAGGAAGAGGGGAGCCGGGCCAGGTAGCACACGCCTGTAATCCTAGTAGTCAGGAGGCTGAGGCAAAAGGGTCACCATGAGTTCAAGGCCAGCCTGGACTGCACATAGTGCGACCCCACCTGGAAAAAAAAAGGGAAAAAAGAGAAAGAGGCTAAATAATCCAGGTGGGCAAAGCAATGCAAGACTTTCATCTCTCTGCATGGTAGGCATTGCTGGTAGCCTATCCTGACCTCTGCTGGAAAGGAACTTCTGAGCCTTTCTCTCCAGCTGCCCCCTAGTGCTGCAGTGTACCCCTCCCCACCTCCTTGCCACCAGAGGGCCTAACCCTCCACCTGTGCCGGATCCCAGCCTGTCCCATTTTCTTGGGGACTATTCCATCATTACACTTTTTCTTTTTTCAAAAAAGTATTTAAACCAGGCATGGTGACCCACACCTATAATCCCAGCACTGAAGAAGCAGAGGCAGGAAGATAGTTTGAGGCCAGCCTGGACTACATAGAGAGAATCCCTGTCTCCAAAAAAAAAAAAAAAAGCAAAAAGTATAAGTAAATAAAATAAGTAAACTTATTAGTAAGTGTCTTTGAGACATAATGGCTACTTTCATTGTAGGTGTTTGGTACATGCCATATCTTTTTTTTTTTTTAGAGGGGTACTTGGAGTCAAAGTCAGGACCTTGCACTTGCAGGCAAGCACTTATACCACTGAGCTATATCCCCAGCCCTGGTATATGTCATATGTCGCTTTTTTTTTTTTTTTTTGAGACAGAATCTCACTTTGTAGCCCAGGCTGGCCTCAGACTCATAACAAACCTCCTGCCTCAGCCTCCCAAACACTGGGATTAGAGGTGTGTGCCACCATGCCAGATGGTGTTTTTTGATGTTCTCTTTCCTTCCCCCTCACCTCTCTTCCTTAATCTCTTGGTGCCTTTCCCATTTGCAGTAGATTCTATTTCTGTTTTCTTTTATCTATCTTTTATTTTGCCCTTTATATTTTTGATTTCTCATATAAGAGTGACCATACTGTCTTAGTTACTTTCCTCTCATTGCTAAGACAAAATACCTGAAATCCAAAACTAAAAGAGGGAATGTTTATTTAGCTCACAGTGTGTGGAAGTTTCAGTCCATTATCAGCTGGCTGCAAGGCAGGGTGGCACATGGTAGAGGGGCAAAAGTTCATGGCAGCAGAAGAGAGCAAAAGCAGCAAGAACAAAAAGGCGGGGATCAGCCTCTCTTCCTCTCATGTTGTAGACAGGCTACCACTATTTCCATGCCCTCCTCTTGCACACACTTGGGATATTTACAGAGTGAGGACCCTGGTCCCCTTGCTGAGTTGCTTAGACTTTAAACTTCTCAAGTAGACACAATGTATCGATACATATTGTATTTATGGTGTGTCTGATTTATTTAACCCAACAATAATCTGAAAAGTATATTCATCTCAGATGCCCACTTTTGGACTGGGTCTTTAAATTTGGGGGGGTCTGATTTTTTAAAGTTTTTTATATATTCTAGATATTAGTTCATTGCCTGAGGAGTAGGTGGTAAAGTTTTTTCCCATTCTGTGTGTTGTCTACTCACTATTGGCGGCTTCTTTCACTGTGTGGAAGATTTTTAATTTGATGTGATCCCAGTTCTTGATTCTTCGTAGTATTCCTGTGTGATCAAGGTTTTGTTCATGAAGTCTTTGCCTACTCTTTATCTTAGAAAGAGTTAGCTATTCTATCTTCCAGCAGATTGTTTCCAGCTTTATAGTTAGATCTTTGATTCATTTTTATTTTAATTTAGTGCATGGGGAGACACAGGGGTCTAGTTTTAGTCTACTATGTGGAAAGCCAGTTTTCCCAGTACCCATTGAAGAGGCTATCTTTCCTCCAGGGAAGGTGTTTGGTCACTTTTTCAAAAATAAGGTAGCTAAGTGTGCTTACAGTTGTTTCTGCATATTCTGATCTGTTCTATTGATCTTCATGTCTGTTAGTGTTTTATTTTTGCCTGTACCATGTATTTTTCATAATATTGCAATTATTTTGTTTATTTTAAAGAGAATAAAACCAAACAAAAGAAAACAGAATAAAACTAATCAGAATAGAACAATAAAAGCCATACAGGACTTCAAAACAAGAATATAGGAAATCAACAATGGCTACCACAATGTCTCTTACTTTCTTTAAAATAGCTGTCCATACCATCAGACATAATAAAATCAAACAAAACAAAACAAAAAAAGTGAAAGCATATTTTAAAGAGAATAAAACCAAATGAAATAAAACACAATAAACCCAATCAAAGCAAAACAGTGAAAGTGTTACAGAATTTCAAAACAGGATAATTGGAAATCAACAGTGGCTACCATAGTGCCTCTTGTCATCTTCAAAATTGCTGCCTATGCCATCAGGCATAATAAAATCAAGCAAAACAAAACAGAATAAAATCAATCAAAACAGAACATTGAATAAAACAAAACAATGAAATGGAACAAAACAAAACAAAACAGTGAGAACAATATTGGATGTCAAACACAAAAGAAAATCCCTGATATTCACTATATTGCATGTACTTATCGTCCTAATAGATGCTCAGACTACTGGCTTTAGGCTTGCAAAGTCAATCAAACAATACAAGTGTTAAGTTGTCTTGGTACTTAGGTTGTTATCAACTAAGTCTGTCCTCCAGCTCAGCTAGTTGCTTGCTTGGGGTGGGGACCTTTTTGTCTCCCAGGCTGCGTGCTAGTTGGCTCATGGGAAGGGTGAGTTGGCTTCTTGTTGCTCCTCCCAGGTCCAGCATGGCTTGCCCATTTCTGCTTTGTTTTGTTTTTGTCATGGTAGCTCTGCAGCACAGCTTCAGATCAGGTGCAATGATGGCCCTGCCTTGCCCTTACTGCCCAGAATTATTTTTGCTTTTCCAGGTCTCTTATGGTTGCATATGACTTTTAGGATTGCTTTCTCTAGTTCTGTGAAGTATGTCACTGGTATTTTGATTGAGGTTGCATTAAATCTGTGTAACAGTTTCAGAAGTATGGTAATTTCCACTATATTGATTTTCCCAATACAAGAATAGGGATGTCTTTCTGTTTTCTGTTACCCTCTTTCAGAGTACTGTAGTTTTCTTTTTCTTTACCGGTACCAGGGATCAAACTCATGACCACGTGCTTGCAAGGCAGGCGCTTATGCTGCTGAGCTAAATCCCCAGCCCCTGTAGTTTTCTTTTTCTTTTCTTTTTTTTTTTTTTTTTTTTTTTGTCTTTTTCATTTTTATCGGTACCAGGGATCGAACTCACGACGCCTGCTTGCAAGGCAGGTGCTTATGCCGCTGAGCTAAATCCCCAGCCCCTCCCCTGTAGTTTTCAATGTAAAGGTCTTTTATTTCCTTTGTTAGATTGATTCCTACGTATTTCATTTTTCTTGATGCTATTGTGAAAGGTATTGCTTCCTTGATTTCTCTCAATGAACTTGTTATTCACTGATTTTTATTGAGTTTTGAATGTGAACTTTGTATCCTGCTATAGTACTAAATTTAATCGTTAATTCTAGGTGTCTTTTGGTAGAATTTTTGGGTCCTCTATGTAGAATATCATGTCATCAGCAAGTAATGACAATTTAGTATTTTTTTCCTACCCATTTTCTTTTCTCTTCTTTCTCATGCCTAATTGCTCTGGCTAATGTTTCCAGAACTATATTGGATAGGAGTGGAGACAGTGGCCATCCTTGTATTGTTCCTGATTTTAGTGAAAGTTTTCAGTTTCTGCCCACTTAGTATGATACTACTGCCTATTGGTTTGTTATAGAGAGCTTTTATCAGGTTGAGATAAAGACCATCTATTCCAATTTTCTTTCTTTCCTTCTTTCTTTCTTTGTGGGTTTGTTTTAATACCATGAATAAGTGTTGAACTTTGTCAAATGCTTTTTCGGTATCTTTTGAGAGTACTTGTGGCGTTTCTCTTTGGCTCTGTTAATATGGTGTATTTCATTTACCGATTTACATATGTTAAACTATCCCTGCATCTCTAGGACAGTGACAGTCCATCTCACTGCAGAAAGAATGGCTATCATCAAGAAATCAAGCAATAAGTAATACAGGCAAGGTTATGGGGAAAAAGGAACCCTTCTCCACTATTGGTAAAATGTAAATTGGTACAACCACTATGGAAATAAGTATGGAGATTCCTCCAAAAATTAAAGCCTCCATTTGACCCAGCTGTGCCCTTTTAAGTATCCTCTTGAGAGTTGAAAACATCATACCATAGTGATACATACAGCCATGTTTATAGAAGTGCAATTCATAATAGACAAATCTTGGAAACAGCCCATATGCCCATTAACAGATGAATGGACGAAGAAAATGCAGTATTTGTAGATGATGGAGTACTACTCTGCCATAACGAAGGGTAAACTGAGCCATTTTTTAGGTGAATGGATGCGCCTTGAGACAGTAATGGTAAGTGAAACAAATCAGACAGACACATTGTTTAAGTATCACAGTGTTGGGCTGGGGATTTAGCTCAGTGGCATAAGCACCTGCCTTGCAAGCAGGCAGTCATGAGTTCGATCCCTGGTACCGATAAAAACGAAAAAAAAAAAAAAAAAAGTATCACAGTGTTTCTCTTGTGTGAGAAACCCAAACGGGAAATGAGGAGGAAAATGGAGAGAGACACTCGGGAGTTGGAAGAACATGTTCAAACAGAAAGGGAACCAAGGGAGGAGACAGGAAGAAGGGAAGGAAGGGAATAGGGGAAAAGGGAGGGACAAAGCCTTTGTAAAGGGGAAAGGGGAGCAGGGTTGAAGGGAGGAAAGGGGACTGGGAAGAAGAGAAGAATGAAGAACAACAGGATTACACACAGGCACAAATTTCCTCTGATGGTTGTTGCTGTTGTTGCTGGGACAGAGTCTGGCCTCCAACTCCTGGAGATCCTCCTGCTTCAGTTTCCAGAGTGTGGGGATGACAGCATGGGCTCGCACTCCCAGGTCCTACCACGTCTTAATTCCATCACGTTGAGTCCGCTCCCTCCTTTCTTCCCTCTCTCCACTTTCCTTTCCTTCCATCCCTACTCACTTCAGCTGACAGTTTTGCTAGCTCACCTTTTTTGCTAGGACCTTTCGGACCTTTTGAGGCTCCCGGCACCCCAGC